TTTGATATTTTTGTAATTACTATTGCGTTGCGTAAATTTGATAAGCTGTATAATAGCAATTCTTTTAGCTAATTTTCATGAGAATTCTTTGTACATTTGTTCTTATGTATACTTATAAAATTATAGGTATGAGATTTAAGTAAATAACTAATGTTTTTGGACACGATCAAATAATGTTTAAGGATGACCTGAGTTTTAAATATGGTATAGCAATTACTTATGTGATATGAAGTATGTTTGTTAAGGGTTAAATGCAGCTGAGACAGTAAAAGTATGAATGGATTGGATTACCTTGGAATCTAAAGAAGTAAGTGTACTTTTTTTAATAATTTGGTAGAGTTGAGATTGGCAGCGATTGCTCTGTGATAGCTGCATGCATTCTTATTTGTAATTTATTGCACGTCATAACAGTGAGTAAATAGAGAAATTCTTGTGGAGTGTGTAGCATTTGATTGTTGCTATATTTGGAAAGTCTTGAAATGGATAAGGTGGAAATTTTGTCATTACAGAAAATATCTAATGTATTTCAGCACTATCAAAGATGCGCACAAGAAATATATTACTACGAATGATGTTTGAGTGCAAGTTGTCAATGGTATTTGTAATATTTGTGAGCTTTGCTAGAAATATTGTTATACATCGTAGTATTTCAACCTTTTCATCTTTGTTCCAGGGATATTTTTTGGGAAGTAATAATTTAAGATAACTTAGACTCATCACAGGGATATGTTGAAAATATAGATTATCAAATGTTTGTAAGATATGTCGATCTCATCAGAAATATTTTTCAGGACTGACAACATGTGTATGAGAATTAGTGAAGATCATACTTGAAAATAAGCACTGATAATGCATGAGATATTGTGGCTTTGTAATGAATTATGCGAAAACTTAGCGAGCTATGTTCAGGCATCATTATTACTAATTGTCACAGAATATGATAAGTTGATAACGCCAAAGTCAATACTAAGGGATATGTAACGAAAAGAAATGTGCTGCATATATAATGAGCTTTATGAGAGTTATCTGCCTGTCCATTAGCAAGAATATGTGAGCCAGCTTTTATCTCAGGTAGTTGTTGTATATGTGTGATATGCATATAAAACACATTGTGATAGCAGGAATGTTGTGTATGAAAATGTGTGGCGGTACAATGAAATGGACTGAGTTTGAACTGAAACTGGAATTGAATTGAAGAGGGAACGGTGCAAATGGAATAATTGCTGGTTTTATGTTGATGTTACTGCATTGCTCCAATATATATATATATACATATATATATATATCGCTTACATATTATATAATAAGCAACACATATATGTATATGCATGCATATGTAAGCGTGACATACATCGGTAGCAGTATATCACGGCAATTTAGAAAGGAAAAAAAACCATTTGATGTGGCGTTGTTGCTTGCTTACAAGGAATATTAACAAACGACAATGAGCAGAAAGATGTTATTTTAGCAGGCAAAATTATATAATGAGACTATCTGTCTCCATCTTAACATATGCTAGCTAGTAAACGATGGAACGAGATGAAATAAAATGAATAAAGCAATGAATATAGAGCTATTCCATTTCATGTTCAAATATCTTACCAATTCGTTTTTTCCTACACTTATCTTCATCATCTGTGTGAGCTAGTTATTTGACGAAATGGACGTATAAGTAAATAAATAAATTAGATAGATGGATGGATAGGTAGCTGAATTAGTAAATATATGACTGATTTATTATTTTATTTTTGCTTGTCTTAATTTTAGGTCTCAATAATTTTGGGATATGCATAAATATCAGTTTATATATTTCATTTTTCTCATTAACATATCAGTTATTGAAGGCTAGTTTTTCCACGTATTATATTTGATTCGAAAATATTAAGTAAAATAACTGTTGTTTTGTGATATTCTTCTTTATTTGCGATTTACTCATTTTTATTCTACATATAAATATGAAAAAGTAATATGTACGATTATTGTATTTTACTGATTTATATTGAAGTAAGATATTGGTTGATCCACTCGATTAATATTTTGACAAATATTTGCGTCCGTTAGGATGGTTAGTTCGGATAATTATTAAGGTTGATATATTCAGTTATCATCAACCTTTTAACTGCTATATAATAGCTGTATTTAGGTATAATACAAATTAATGAGTTAATTGTTTCTATGTTTTATGTATTTGATTCTTGTCAATTATGCATAAATGAAATTACGATTCATTTGCTTTTATATATATTATGTACTTATCATTAACAACATATTAACTTTATGAGCTCAGATATGACATTTATTATTTTTCGGTAGCTACTTTTAAATAAAATTGTAATTTGTCCCTTCTACCTTGAGTATATTTCATTTATTAATTTCACTCCATATCTAGTTTCTATATTTATTCGCTTACAATTATATGCCATGGACATTTATTATATAGATTTCACTAATTGTTTATGAATGGATATGAATGAAGCGCGCATATTAAGCTATTAAGTTCAATATATTCAGGTTTTGGTATATTTATCATTAAAATAATACAGTTTACCAACGCATACTGACATGTTACAGTTGTTTTCT